CTTGCATCTTGCAATTTAGGACCGAGTTTTCCTAGTTGGATCCAAACTCAAAATTCCTTAATCGAACTAGATATATCTTATAATGGGCTAAATGATCTCGTACCAGCATGGTTTTGGAAAAAGTTGCAAATTCTATACATTTTGAATATGGCTCACAATAATCTCATTGGTTCAATCCCTAATATGCAATTGAAGCTTCCTTTCAGACCATACATACTTTTAAGTTCAAATAAATTTCAGGGAAAAGTTCCATTATTTTTGCTACAAGCTTCCGAGTTGTTTCTCTCTATAAATAAATTTTCAGATTTCTCATGTGGAAACTTCACAGCTACAAACTTGGCCACTTTAGATTTATCATATAATCAAATAAAGGGGCAACTTCCAGATTGTTGGAAATCAATAAATCGATTATTGTTTCTTGATTTAAGTAGCAATCAATTGTCAGGGAAACTTCCTATCTCTATGGGCAGCCTTGTTAACTTGGAAGCTTTGGTTTTAAGAAACAATAGTTTAATGGGTGAATTGCATTCCTCTTTGAAGAACTGTAACAATTTAATTATGTTGGATGTGAGTGAGAATATGTTGGCCGGCCCAATACCATCATGGGTTGGAGAAAACATGCAACAATTGATAATATTGATCATGCGAGGGAATCACTTCTCTGGAAAGATTCCCCTTCATCTATGTTATTTGAAGCGTATTCAATTATTGGATCTTTCCAAGAATAAGTTATCAGAAGAAATTCCACCTTGCTTAAACAATTTTACTGCATTGTCTGAAAAGATGATCAACAGAGTTGAAACTGAAAGTCGGGTGTATTGGTACAATAGTACTTACTATGAAATTTATAATCTAATCAGTTATAGTTATTATTCATTTCATATAACATGGATGTGGAAAGGTATGGAACAGGACTTCAGACGTCCGGAATTAACTGTTCTGAGCATTGATCTCTCGTGTAATAATTTAATTGGTGAAATTCCGAAAGAGATTACATACGCGCTCGGGTTAGTTTCTTTGAATTTATCAAGAAACAATCTGAGTGGAGAAATTCCTTCCGATATTGGAAATTTAAGTTTACTTGAATCCCTTGACCTGTCAAGAAATCAATTGTATGGGAGAATTCCTTCTTCTCTTTCTCAAATGGATTTTCTACAAAACTTGGACTTGTCACACAATTCTCTTTCTGGAAGAATCCCATTGGGAAGACACATGGATACATTTGATGCCTCTTGTTTTGAAGGAAATGCTGATCTTTGTGGTGATCAACTTAACAAGAGTTGTGCAGGATATCAGACATTAGTAAAGCCTCAAAAAGCAGAAGTCCATGGAGAATATTGTGTTTTCTATGAAGCATTATACATGAGCTTGGGGATAGGATTCTTCACAGGATTTTGGGGCTTATTAGGTCCATTACTACTTTGGCAACCATGGAGAATGACTTATCTGAGATTCTTGAACAGACTAATAGACTATTTATTTGTAGTGGTTGAAGTGAACTTTGCAAAGCGCCAAAGGTAGATCAAAGACTAACAGAGTGCAAAAGGTGGCTCAAAAACTAGCTGGTATATAACTCTATTGATTTCTTTCTTTGAATTTTATAGTACTTATTTCTCCTTCAGATAAGTAAATCAGTAAGTAGGTTTTATATTGAAATCGAGCTTACCTTTCTAAAAAGAAATGTACAAGGCTTGCCATGAATGTAAGTGTTAGAATTTGATTCTTGCTTAAAATATAGCACTAAACGTACTTTAATTAATTGTATGTCTCTCAGCTACATACTGATTTTCATCAATTTTATTAAACATCGATTATATCCTACGCTCCTACTCATGGCTTTAATAATTGTAGTTCCGTTTTTTCAGAAATAATTGTTTTTGTTGGTGTAAAGGAATTATTGATAGTGTGCTCTGTTATGAGAAGTTTTCATTTTTCAGATGAATTATGCTTAGGCCATTTTAAAAATGCTTACATGTTATTTTTTTAGTAATGTAACGAGTTTAAATATATATATTTTTTCATTCAGCTTACCACTAAAATTTGGTCTCCAAATTATTTTTCCATCATTACTAATAATGTTTGTCATCATAAGAATCTCAGCACAAGTTTATAGCAATTCATTTCATTTAGTTTATCATTAATATTTGGTTTCCATTTTTTTCCCTTCATTACTAACGTTTGTCATATAAAATTTAGCACAAAATTTGCAGTTAACAATGATTTGGTTCAAGACTCCATTACGAGATAAAAGCATTACAGATTGTTGGCAGTGAGAGATTTGGAGGCTGAAGTTTCATAAAGGAATGATTTGATAGTGTGTGGTTGTATAATCTATAATATAAATTTAATTTTAAGCCAAGAATTCGAGATATCCTAATTTGTATATGTAAGAATATGGGATATCTCAAAAATTTGTAATTCAGAATCCATTGAATCTCATCTTTAATACTCTTTCATTATGATTGTATATAAATATGATTGTATATATTGTTCATGTTATTTTACATTCAAAATTGGAATTTAAAAATAAAAATTTCAATAATTGTCTTTGCATGTTGTGGTTATCTAATTCCAAATTTTATTAATAATAACATGGTATTTATGTTTTGTCTTACTAATGTGCGTTACTTGCTCATACATGTACTTATTACACACACAGTTTCTCGTGTTCCATGATACTGAACCAAGGTAATTCTTAATCTTGGTCATCCAAGAATTTAACAAAAATTAATAAATTCCTTGAAACCATTTGATTTTTGCATTAACAAATCAGATAATTCCCAAGTAAGAATTGAAAATAAAAAACAACTTATCCTAAAAGGTAAAGAGACAATTTCAATTAAAACTCATTTTGAAATATCAAAATATTTACTGAATATATTTTTTTTAAATTAGCTTTTAAAAAATATTTTTGTTTTAAATATATCTTTGAGTTTTAGAAAGATATATCTTTCTGTTTTAAGATTGAAATGTTCTAACTATTTTTTATTTAATATTCAATTACATTTTGTTCTGTAGATACATCAACAATGTATAAAAACTAGTTCTTTCATACAGTATATCTCTCCTATATCTCATAACTTCATACTCTCTAAACATTCCCAACATAGACACTTAAAAATGAAATTGGTCCAAAGAACTAAGCATGTTAGACATTTCAAAGGAAGAAAACGAGACTAGCCCAAAAAGTCTTTAAGCTATTAATGTTATATTTGAAATCCATTCTATGGGTTAGAAAAAGTAAGCATCTTAGACACTTGAAAAGCAGAAAATGATTTTGGTCCAAAGATCTTGAGGATTGTGCTATTCAAATATTAAAAGAAGAAAATGAAATGGTCCAAAGAACTTGAGGACTATCTGTTCAAATCTGTTACTGTTAAATTAAACACTTGACAAGAGAATGAAAAGAATAAAATATGCAAAATATATATCACAACTTGAAAAGAAAACGAAAAAACAATTTAGAAACCCATTCACAACTTGCAAAGTTTAAAAAACTATCAACATTTATATTGACAATTGGTCGGCTGGTGGACTAATTGACTTTTTCCCCTTTCACTTTCTAAAGAGCGGAAAAATAAAAAATCTCCACCAACATTTAATAATAATAAAAATAAGTTAAGAAAAAAGTTCATAGCTATGAAAATTAGTTGTTATTTTGGCACACAAAGTAATCCATAGTTTGAATTCATAGATATTGAAATTAACTTAAGTCAATAAATAATTCGCATGGGTCAGAGCAATAGTCTTAAATGCACAGTAAATTCGATCATCTACCTCTTACTTCTGAGCTTTAGATGAGCTTGAGATTAGTAAAACCTTAATTACGGCCCAATCTCAGCCCATTACACTTAATCGATACTTACCTTTAACTTTGCTTCTAGGAGGAATTGATTACCGAGGTAGGTCGTCCGATCCTCCTTGGGTGATCCATCCAGACCAGTTTGTCAAGATTTTACTTTGGTTTTGGTATCTTACACCTTTGGGTCGTCCAGCCAATCCCTATCTTCCAAGGTCGTCTGACCCTATGATTAAGTAACTTCTACAAACACTTTCATAATTTCCTTCCAAAGTCGCTCAAGTAGTTGTGTCTTCGTCCTTCCTTCGCCTCTCCAACCGATCGGGGGATACCTGCCAAAGGTGTACTTTGATGCTTTTAAGTTAGTAAATAATCCGTAGAAGGGTCAGTGCAACAGTCTTAAATGCACACTAAATGTGATCACCTACCTCTTACTTTGGACTTTTATTTATAGTTTTCGAGATGAGCTTGAGATTAGTAAAACCTTAATCTTGGCCCAATCTCAGCCCATTTCACTTAATCGATACTTACCTTTAACTTTCCTTCTAAGAGGAATTGATTACCAAGGTAGGTCGTCCGGTCCTCCTTGGGTGATCCGTCTGGACCGATCCTCCTTTAACTTACCTTTGCATCGTCCAACCAATCCCGATCTTACTGGGTCGTCCGACCCTACGGTACACAGGCCCCTCTAAGCCCCAAAAAATTGTAGTTGGCAATGCGGTTTGTCATGAGTGCCTCTAACAGTGTCGCCTACTATAATGATCCAGGGTCGTCTTACACGTTTTGAATAGGACATTTTGGCGAGAGAACTTGTAAATAAGTTCAAAACCTATTATTACGGAGTTATGGACACCTGTTATAAGGTAGAAAATTTTGTAATGTATTATGACTGGTTTTTAGAAACTAGTAATAATATCTCTCTCTCTCTGGTTTTCCCATTTCCCTCTCAGTCTCACTATCTTTAATTTCACATTCGCCCCTAATTTCTCTTCCCTCCCTTTCTTCCTTACTCTCGTTTGTCGTAATCTCCATTGAACCATTCTTCCTCTCTTCTTCACTCTCGTTCACTATCATTCAACCGTTCACTCTCGTTCATCATCATTCTGTAATTACTCTATTTTGTCGTTCATCTGCCACATTTCTCATTCGCGTAGTCTCACGAGATCGTTTCTCTCGTCTCCATCCTAATATCATATTGAAGGCTCTCGTTGCTTCTATATCATCTCGTTGAACCATAGTTCAAGTCGTAAGCACTTTTGCTTACCTCTCAGCCTCTCACCTGCATCTTTCACCCTCAACTGCTAGGGTTTCTTCATATCTTCGCCTTCTCACCTTTTGACCGATTTTTCGTTCATTTTTCACCGATTGAAATCGGTTCTCTCACTGTTTGTTCCGGTGAAGCAGTGATTCAGCTCGCTTTAAAAAAAGCTCCATAGGAGTGGAGGTAGGAGCCAACCTAGGTAGATGTGGTTGATGATGCAAGTGTAGTTGCTCTCAGTGTTTGTTCCCCTTTCGGAGTAAGGGTTTTTTTTTCTAATTACTTTCTCAGGTAGGCAAAAACTTCTTCTGCTAATAACTTCATCTCTTCTTAATATAGTTAATGAATAGCCAACTGAATGAAGTATAATTTTTCTTTTTTTTAGCTTAGCTTTTAAATGTTTAAGTTGTAATCTGTGAGTATGAAGATGAGTAATTTGTCTTCCATCAATTGAAATTATATGTCATTTTATTCATTCAATTTATGCACTCTAATTGGCTATGCGTTGTTTGTGATCCATTCTTTCAAAGTACAGCCTTTACCAAGTTTACAAACTTTGATATAAGGTCTATTTCTCGTTCAAAATTATTTTACTGAACAATATGTATAATCTGTGATATATTTGATGCTATTTCAGGTAAATGTACACTTAGTCAATTCTGTTTTTATCAGAGAATAATGGATATACATGGCCAAGCAATTTACAAGTCCTAAAGCTGAGTTCGAACAGTTTCCACCAATGAATGGAAGCAAACTGAGGGAATCACTACAAGCTTTCTCATCTATTAGGATGCTTTTTATGAACAATAATAAGATTATAGGAACAATCACTATAGGAGGTAGAAATAATTTTGATAATACTCTAAACTAAATTTGTTTCATTGTTATACTAAATATAACTTCTTTTGGATGTGCAGTGATGAAGTGTTGGAGAGGAAAAAATGGTAATAACAACAACAGTTGGAAAAGGGTAGGAGTTGTCTAGTGTAGAGGGATAAGAGACTTATTTGGAGGGGACTTGATATGGCTAGATATTGATCGTGGGCTTTTAGATGTTGAAGAGCACAAAGTACTTGCAATATACCCTCCTCACGAGGAGGGCTATGAGGGGCGTTACTTGTCACGTCTCATATGCCAGGGCTACTATTTCCTTGACCTCTCCGCTCCTGGCCTTGGTGACCCTGAAACCACCCTCACCAAGATTCACCTAGTTTGCCCTGTCAGTTCTTTCTTTTTTCACAACACTCTTGTTTATGATTGCTTAACCGAATGACAATCGCTTTTAACTTCAAATATTCAAATATTTCAAATGGTTTCGTGATGAATTTCTGGCTCATGTTGGAAAGCAGCCAATAGTGAGGTGGTATTATCCTCCAGAAGTTGATTTCAGATTAGAATCATTACCACCAAATGCCAAAGGATTGGTGGTCTGGATACTTGAAGCCAAGGAGTGAGGATTGTGGC